GCCTTCTCTGTTGCTGCCCCCAGATTGTGGAATTCCTTCACACAAATGAACCTTATCTTTGCTGCCTTTCTGCAAACAGGCGGAGATGTATCTCTTCAGACAGGCTTTCAGTTAGTGATTGGCTGGCTGACTGGAATTTTTAAATGGATTGTTGTGTGTTACGTCTCTGAATATGGTTTTGTAGATATTGATTGCGATCTTTTAGTGTGATATTTGATTCTTTTAAAATATTTGTATGTATACTTTTAATGATGTAAGCTGCCTTGGATCCTTTTTAAGGAGAAAGTCATGGTGATAGATAGATAGATAGATAGATAGATAGATAGATAGATAGATAGATAGATAGATAGATAGATAGATAGATAGATAGATAGATAGATAGATAGATAGATAGATAGATAGATAGATAGATAGATAGACTGATCGATTGATCGATTGATTCAGATCTGCCTTTGAACTGGATCAATTTCAGGAAGAAGATTGATTTGCATGTGTTTTCTACCCCCAGATAGCTAAGGGAGCATCAGAATTCACACGTTTTGTCACATTTGTGACAGGAACAGCTTGAGGTGTGTGTTTTTTTCATCAAATAGATTCATTCATTTTTTTAATCAAGGTTCTGTGCACTTAATTCACAGGAGTCTGAGTTTCAATACATTACATGCTAGCAATGAATTAGGGTTGCAACTTCCTCCCCCTCCCCTCTGCGACTTGTTTCTCATTTTTAACAGCTGCAAAGCAGACAAGAATGGCACTGCTTTTTCCAAACAGGGAATACTTGAGTTTGGAAATGTTACTTTTTGAACTGTTGTTGTTTAGTCGTTTAGTCGTGTCCGACTCCTCATGACCCCATGGACCAGAGCATGCCAGGCCCTCCTGTCTTCCACTGCCTCCCGGAGTTGGGCCAAATTCATGTTGGTAGATCTGGAGACAATGTCCGCCCATCTCATCCTCTGTCGTCCCCTTCTCCTCTTGCCTTCATACTTTCCCAATGTAAGGGTCTTTTCCAGGGAGTCTCCTCTTCTCATGAGATGGCCAGAGGATTGGAGCCTCAGCTTCAGGATCTGTCTTTCCAGTGAGCACTCAGGGTTGATTTCCTTCAGAATAGATAGGTTTGTTCTCCTTGCAGTCCAGGGGACTCTCAAGAGTCTCCTCCAGCACCACAATTCAAAGGCAT